GTTTTAAGTTACTGTTCTATTGCTGTGAAGAGACAACACAACCAAGGCAACCCTTATAACAGAAAACATTTAATTGGGGGCTTGCTCACACTTTCAGAGGGTTGGTCCATGATCATTGTGGTGGAAAGGAAAAGGTGTGGTGCTGGAGCAGTAGCTGAGAGTTTTACATCCTGATCTTCAGGCAAAAGGCAGAGGGTCTGGCCTGGGCTTTTGAAACCTCAAAGCCCACCCCCTGTGACATGACTTCTCCAACAAGGCCACACCTTCTAATCCTTTCCAAACAGTTCCACTAATTAGGGCCAAGCATTCAAACTGATGAGCCTATGGAGGCCATTCTCATTCAAACCATCACAAGAGGGAAGGGGAAGAGCATTCACTTGTTACTTACTTGGCCTTCCCTCTTACCAGCAAGTTAATTCACCCCACTGCTGCCACTGCTGATTCCTTTGATGATATTAGAAGCAGCTTTTCTGGTCAGTTTCCAATATGGACTGAGGACCAGTGGCTCTTCAGGAATACTCCAGACCATAGGTGACAGAATGGGACTGCTGAGAAACTTAACCTCACAGACTGAACAACCACTGGGCTCTTAGCCTTTCAGATGTGAGACAGCTATTGTTGACAATTTTACTATTGCATAAGCTGATTTAATAAATCTTTTTAAATGTGTGTATGTGTGTGTATGTGTTGGTTCTCTTCCTCCAGAGAACTCTAATACAAATTGTGGGACCAGAAGTGGGATGTTGTCTGTCTCCTCCTGGTCCTCACTTTCATCCTCACCTTTGGGCCTTATCCTGGTCATTGGTCCAGAGGCAATGATGGGTGGACCCTGAGAGATGTACGCATTGACTTGTCTGACGTCTCCTTCAGGGAAAGTCATTGCCAGCTCTATAGATCCATAGGATTAATTCCCTCAGGTAAGGGCAGAGAGGGCAATCCTGCAGGAGGTAGGAATGGGGTGGGGGTGGGAATGCACCCTGTGCTAAGAGTAGGGACAGTATTTCATTCAGCAAAGTGAACACATCAGACCACCTTCAACCTCCATAAGGTCCTCCCACACATCTCCATTCATTTTCCAGTCATTTTAATTGCAAACATCTTTCGATGCTGGTAATTAATTTGCATTGTAAGTCAGTCAATCATATATTGTGTGATGAAGACTTGGGTTTGATTTTCTGAAACTTGAGATCTATAGCTGCTGGAAAGATGACTCTCTTCCAGGGCATACTTTAAAACATTTAGATTACTTTAAAAAATATATTTATTTATGCCCATTTGGAGTTGTTCAATTTTATCACTGAACTCATTTCTTTTTCCTTACTGTGTCCAGAGATGTGAAAAGGAACTCACCAGTGACCTGGTGACAGATTGGCCACACTGGACCATTTCCATCATGGAAAGGGCAGCATTTTGTCCTTACTGGAATAGACTCCTAGTCTGGTTGTGGAATTACCTTTCCTGTACATAGTGCTTCCACCAGGAGGCACAATAAACATCCCTTTGAAGTGGAGGCTAAGACTCCCTCCTGGACACTCTGGGCTCATAATGTCCTCAAGTCAACATGTTAGGAAGTGTGATTAATCAAGAGGGCAATTGAACTACTTCTCCACAGTGGAAGGAAGAGTATGTCTTGGATGTAAGAAATATGATTAAGGTCAGTGAAAAACTACAACAACCCAATCCAGGAAGGAAGAGGAATGTCCTGGAGCAGTGGTTCCCAACCTTCCTGATGCTGCAGCCCTTTAATACAGTTCCTCATGCTGTGGTGACCCCCAACCATTATTTTTGTTACTGCTTCATAACTATAACTTCACTACTGTTATGAATCATAATGTGAATATCTGTGGTTTTCTCATGGTCTTAGGTGACCCCTGTGAAAGAGTCATTCGACGCCCTGCCCAAAGGGTTTGCAACCCACAGACTGAGAACCACTGGCCTGGACCCCTGAGGAATGAAGATATGAGTTACTTCTTCAGGTAGAGAACCAAGACCTCCTGAGGTGCTTACTGAGAGTGGAGGAAATACAGAACAGGTAGTAGAAGATGGAGTCATAAATACCAGCGAAGGTCACATGACCAGTCACAGAAATGATTATGGCTGACATGAATGTTTTTTGTCCTATTTGTTGAGAATGTGCTTATGCATATATTAAGTAGATGGCTGTGTTTTCTTCTATTTCTTTATCATGTCATGTTGATTGAGACATGAGTGGTTGTGTTGTAAAACTATATAATCATATTTAAGCTATGGGATGCTAAAAGATTAAGCATTGCTGGAGGGATTTAGAAGCCAAGTTCTTTGGAGTCTGGAACACTATAGTCTAAGCTCTTATCGTTGGTCACTGGAATAATAAGGTTTTGTCTTCTCCCTGAATTTTGCTTTTGCTTTGGTGTGTTTGTTCATTTGCTATGACCTTCTTTTTCTCTTTTAGAATAAAGAATGCTTACTTAGTGAGATAATACGTTGGAAGAGTGTAATTTGTTTTTTATATTCTTGGGAGCTTATAGTTAAGAGATCTGAATTTTTAAAGTATTGGGATTTTAAAAAGATTTTGGGACCTTTTAAAGTTAAACTATATTTGGAGCTGGAGAGATAGATACCTCTGCAGTCAGGAACACTGACCACTCTTCCAGAGGACCCAGGTTTGATTCCCAGCACCCACATGGTGGTTCCCAACCACCTGTAACTTCATTCCTGGGGTATATGACACCCTCTTCTGACCTCTGTAGGCACGACACATGCATGGTGCACAGAATACATGCATGCAGAACACCCATCTACATAAAATCAGTATTTCTTAAAGTTAGACTGTAATTTATATTATAAAATAAACATCAGGCTTTGGAACAAGGCATGGAAGGTTGTGATTTTTAAAGTGATGTGTTTCTGTGTCAAGTCGACAAGGGTTAGGCTGTGATCGTTGGTTTTAAATGTCAACTTGTCACATACAGAATTACCTGAGGAGGGAGCCCCACTTGAGTCATTGTCTACATTAGGTTACCCTATGGGTACGTCTGTGAGGAACTGTCTAGATTGTCTTAATTGATGTGGGAAGACCCACCCCAAATGTGAGCAGCACCTTTTGATAGCAGCCCAGATCAAAACGGAAAGAAAACCCATTCTCTCTTCCCTCTTACACTGAGTTAATTTATCTTGTTTGTGGCTGATGACTGACTCCTTCACTGATATTAGAACCAGCTTTTCTAGACTTCCAACCTAGACTGAGAGCCAGTGACTGTCCAGGAACCCTCCGGGCCCTTGGGGAAAGAATGGGGCTGGACAACTCTGGGTTTCTCAGGCTCTCCGGTGGAAGACAGCCATTGCTGGCCTACTCTGACTGCTGAGGTACCCATCCTCAAGGAGCAGGCAGCCAACAGAAACTACCAGGTTCTCAGCCCCTCATGTGTGAGACAGCTGTCGTCAGACTATTTCAACCACGTTGAGTAAAATCGTTTATAAATCCTTTATATGTGTTCTGCTGGTCCTGGTCCTCTAGAGAGGTCTGAAACACCTCTGACTGAGGAAGATTTTCCTAGATTAGTAGGTACTGACAGATGTGGTTACACACGTGGAAGAAAGGGCTGCACAAGTTGATGTGCTGGAAAGGCTGCTGATGCTGAGGCTTTGGGCCTCTGTTGGGACACGAGCCACCACGGCCCTGGGCCTCATTTTAAGGATCTCTTATTGTAGACTCGTCTTTGTAAGGAATGATCTCTAATATAAATTTGAAGGTGGTATGCCTCGGAGGGCTGACACCCCCAGGTACTGAGTCTGCTCAGAAGGCCCCAGGACCTCCTGGTACACTAGCCAGGAGTGGGTTTCAAGCTTCTGCCTCAGCACCCCACTCCCACAACATCTGACCCAGGACTCAGTACATTCCACACGTAGACACACATGAGGGGCGGGGGATGGCTCAGGGAGCAAAGCCATGTAAACATGAGGACCAGAGTTCAGATCCCCAGGCCCCATGTATCAGTGAGCTCTGGATTCGGTTAGCAGCCTTGCTTCAATATAAAAGACAGAATATATCTCGTGTCAACCTTGGACCTACACATGCTCACACACACATGAAAAGACACCCGCACACGTGTGCCTACAGACATGAGAACACATACACACACGTATATCACACAAATGCATACAAAAATTAAGAGAACATAAAGAGTTTCTCTGTGAGGAGCTTGGGGACCTGGGTCTTCCAGTCCTGTAGGTTGTGGGGACTTTAACAGCCCAAACCCCAAGGACTAAGAGGGTCTAGCTTTGTTGGCCCTTCCCTCCTGTGCCACTGCTGAGCCTCGAGCCCACTGCCCCTTGCTCGCTCCAGAGAAGGCTTCCCTCAGCTCTGCTAGCCCTGATGCTTGGGGCTTTTGGGAGGTGACTTGGTGCCACATCCATGGCAAGGATGGGCCTGAGAACTCTGCTCTGCCCAGAGCCACAAGCCATGGTCCTTAAAGGCCCCTGTTCAAGCTGGAGGGACCTTAAGCTTCACGGCCTCTAAATAGAATCTTCTGTATCCGGAAGTCCACACATGCCCTGGAGTTGACCTTCTGAGAGGGACAGAGGCCAGGCAGAGGTTGGGACAGGTGCATCTGGCCGAGAATGATGCTCCAAGTCCAGAGGAGGGGCCATCTGCTACATCCTCAAATATCCTTGACTCAAGGCATAGAGAAGCTTCCAGACACTATGGCTGGGCCTGGGGTGCCTAGCAGCCAAGGGGGCCAGATAGCAGCAACAAGGGACAAGCAGACACTGTCAGCAGAGAATGACTTCTGTGAACCGCATCAGGTGGCTGAGCCATCTGGCATCCGATCTACCTTCCATGCCACACAAAGCCCTGGTGGGGTGGGCCTGCTGCATGGTAGCAAAGAACCCAGGGATGCTGGGATATAGGCCCCTCTGTGTATGCCTAAGGCCTTGCCAGGCATTATGACCTGTCCCAGCAGAGCATGGACCTAAGCAGGTGAGAAACCAACCCAGCCTTGTCACCTGTAGGACTCTAATACGGGAGAATATTTATTTTCTTCTCTAGAACTGTGCAGAGCCAGAAGACAGCTGGACTCATCCAGAGAGAAGCAGGGGCCCCTGGAGGAAGGGCTGCATCCCCTGGGCCTGGCACGGAGTGAGCCAGGGACATGCAGGACCCTGTGGCTCCCCTGCCACAGAACAGAGAGAAGGATGGGCACCTCAAACCACGAGGAGGGAGCCCCCCCCCCTTCACAGAGAACATGAGGGCGGCTCCCCAGGGCTTCGGATGCTGCATGAGGCAGGGAGCAGCTGGCTTGGCGGTTTCTGACCTCTGCGGGGCTGACTCAAGGTCTGGGGGGACGTAGAAGAGCTAGACTGTGCTGGAGAGGCTGACCAGGGCCTCAGCAAGGAGACTGAGGAATGGGGCCTCAGGGAGGTCGACCAGGTGGATTCCAGAACCCTGGAGGCCGAGGCTCCCAGGGAAAGGGAGGAAGGCGAGGCAATAGGTGTGCTGCTGGCTGCTATGTCCATGAAAATCTGACCCCGGATAGACTCCAGCTGTCTCCGGATATCGCTAGCCACCCAGCGGATGTGCCGGCCTTCCTGGTCCAGGACCTTATGCATCAAGAAGTCAGGTTGTTGGATTGGTGTAAGGTCGGTGAAACACAGGCTTTGGTAGACCTGAGGGGAGATCTGGGAACAGAACAGAAGATGAGTACTCCCTGGAGCTGGTGGTACCAGGGACCAAGAACAGGCTTGCCATGGAGAGCCCTCAGGTCTTCTCATGCCAAGTAAATCTCTAGTGCTGTGGTGCTCCTGAAGACCACAGCTGTGGGGCCCACACAGCCCTGAGCAGGACCACCCTCTCAGGCTCCCCTCCCTACACGTGTCTGTGAGGTAAGCCTGGTACCAGAACTCCTCTGCTTTGAAGCAAGGCCATGAGTTGGACCTCAGGTGGGGCCTGATACAGAGTCCCTGGATAGACTTTAGGTCTCCCATTAGCACTCCCCAAAGTTGGGCTCTCAGGAGCCTCCAGAACCCTCTCACACCGACCTCCCCAGTAGGGATGTAGCCTTTGGCATCGTGGGAGCTCCCATAATGTCCATAATGCCCTAAGGCAGAGAGAAGGTAAAGGCTGAGCAGGGTCTGCACAGGCAAGAGACAGGATGGAGTCCGATTGGCTTTTGTAAGTCCCTGATTCCCTTTCTACACCTAAGGAGAGCCACCTCCTCCCACATATCCCCACCTGTGCACCCAGTACCCACACACCTCACGTCTACTTTTTTTTTTTAAGATTTATTTTGTTGTGTATACAGTGTTCTGTCTGTATGTATGCCTGCAGGTCAGAAGAGGGCGCCAGATCTCATTACAGATGGTTGTGAGCCACCATGTGGTTGCTGGGAATTGAACTCAGGACCTCCAGAAGAACAACCAGTGTTCTTAAACTGCTGAGCCATCTCTTCAGCCCCATGTTGGTTTGGTTTTTTGTTTTTTGGGTTTTTGTTTTTGTTTTTGTTTTTGTTTTTTGAGACAGGGTTTCTCTGTGTAGCTTTGCGCCTTTCCTGGAACTCACTCTGTAGCCCAGGCTGGCCTTGAACTCACAGAGATCTGCCTGGCTCTACCTCCCGGGTGCTGGGATTAAAGGCGTGCGCCACCACCGTCCGGCCCACATCTACTCTTGATCACCTAGACTCATGGGTACAGGGGCGGTTAATCTGCTAATGAGTAGCCAAAGACTATAATGATGCCCTGGGGACTACAGACAGGAAAGGCTAGTGGAAGGCCACCCCTCCAGAAGTCCAGTGGTCTGCGTTCCCAGAGACAAGATTTCTGCTGACAGAAAACATGCCAGCCTGACCAGTCTATGTCAGAAACAGAGAACATGGACCGGATGGAGTCTGCTGGCCTCAGATGGCCCCCCGCATCTCAGATGCAGCCTCACTCCCTCACCTGCTGCTTCATCCAGCCGTACTGCACTCTGGTGGACAGGAGTTTGGGATTCCGCACATGTACCTTGGGCTTGTAAGCTGCTCCTACGATTTTGCTTGCCTGCAAGAGTCACCGGTGAGAACCGTAGCCAGGAGCGAGGCCCCCTCCCCTCTCCCAACAGTCCCCACCTGCTTGTTCTTGGTCCATTGATTCCAGCTCTCCTCGATGTCTTCCACCGAATTCTGTTTGATCCACGGGGATGTGAGGGACATCTGATGGAGCCTGGCCCGCGCCTCAACTTCCTTCTCTGCTTTCCCATGCAGAAACGCCATCAGCGCTGCCTGCTCATGCCGCTGGTACAACAGGGCTTCAGCCAGTTCCTTGCTGTAAGAGGCTTCCTTCACAACATGCGCCTCCCATTTCCCTACCAGGGCTGCCCACCGCCGCCGCCCCCCCCCCCCCCCCACTCAGGCCAGAGGGCCTCCCCTTTCCGGGTCTGAGCCTCTCCAACCCTTTCCTACCTCCTGCCAGGGCCCAGCACTGAGTCAGCACTGTCTGACACAAGCAAGGCCCAGATGCACCGGCCCAAGCTCTGCTGCCTTTTCTTTCATTCGGGCCTCAACTAGACCTCGCCAGAAGGGTATGTGAACATCCCCACCCCAGGGAAGCTCTGTCTTGCCTTGTTTTATAAACCCGCACAACAAGCCTGTCCCTCCAAAGAGGAGTATGCCTTGATGAGACAACAGGAGCCATAAAGATTCCATGGGTACCTGGAAATTACATCAAAATCAACTCCACAACCTCTCCTGTAAAGCCTTTCTCATTTAATCCAGTCAGGTGGCTGACCTCTAAATAGCGTCTCTCCTTGCTATTCCCAACACCTGTCAGATGGACCTCGGCCATGAGTTAACATAGCCATCTCCCCATGTAGACTGTGGCTTCTTTAGGTTAGACCAGTGTGTGATGGTACTGGATGAAATCCAAGGCCTTGTCACTAGAGGCTCCGAGCCATATCTCTCTAAGTAGCCTTGGTTGTTCTGGAACTCATTGTGTAGATCAGGCTGGCTTTGAACTCATAGGGATCCACCTGCCTCTGCCTCCTGACTGCTAGGATGAAAAGTGTAGACCACCATGTCCAGCAATAATAAAAAAAAAAAATTCGAAAGAACTGAAATCATTTGAAGTTTAAGGAATAAGGATGGAGTGGGTGATGTAGAGGGGAAGGAACCCAGAGGAAAGGCAATAGCTGGAGGAACAACCCTCTCTCTCCCATGCATCACACAGCTGTCTGCTCAGGGCCACTACCTTGGGCATTGGCAAGGGCAGCCCCCTGCCACATGGTAATGACCTCGACAGGAGCCACTGCCACGCTGCAGATCTCAATCTAATCTAGGAGCAGTGTGTGATGGTACTTCTTCTGACTGCTCGGTCTTGCCTCTGAGATGGTTAAATGGGGCCACGGGTTGCCTGCAGATCCTAAGCTTCTCACCCGACCCCAGTAAGAGATTTCTGGGGGCCAGGGAGCCCCAGGTGGCTGTAGTAACTCACTGCAGCTCAATGAAGGATCTCTTGAGGGTGGAGTCGATCAAGTCAGGCTTCTCCTCTAAGGTCTCTTCCTGCTCCTGATCTTCAACCATTGTGGCCTCCTGCAGTTTATCCCAAAGATTCAGGCCAAATGTTCCTGTGATATGACCAGACCCTGCTCAGAACCAGGGCTCTCTGAACTCACTGCTTCTGCCCCCCACTCCAAGAGTTGGTGAGTGGCCCTGTGCTCCACCCCACCCACTCACCCAAACACTGAGTGTCTGCCGTGTGCCAGGCATTACACTGGCTACACAACACATCTCTACGTTTGCCAGTCCCGAGAGGTACTTGGAGCTGAGGCCTAAAGCATTCTGCGCCATGTGTAGGTTGATATGGGAAGAATGCTGTGACAAAGGCCTGGTGACCCCCATTCAGGTTCCCAGCAGCTCACGTGTGAAATGACAAGGGCATAAATTGGGGTAAGATCTGGGGTGGAGCAGAAGACAGAGAAGTCAGCATCCTGTTCTGGTCCCGGCATGGATGACCTGAATTCAGCCCCAAAACTGACGTGGTAGAGAGAGAACCAATTTCTGTGAATTCTGACCCCCACATGGGTGCAATGGCACAGGCATGCCATGTCATGTGTGAAACCACCCCTCCCTGACACATACACAATACATAAATAAAAGCAGGGATTCGCCTGCTATGGAGTAATGAAATTAAGAAAAAGAAAAGATCCAGGTTGTAAAATCCCATTTTGGAGAAATCACCAAAGAGCTCCAGCAGCAAATAAGAGAGCAACTATACTGACAAACAGGGAAGACTTTGCAAGAAACACTAGCCTGGGAGTCACTAGCTTCTCCAGGAGTTCCTGGTGTGGGTCTAAGCCGTGTGAGAACCAAGCTTGACCTAGACAGAAGGATGCTGCTGTGGGCCCAGCTGATCTCCTGCCAGCCCTGCAGCCAGTAGGATTGAGGCAGGCAGACCCCTGGGATTTACTGGCCAGCCAGCCTCGTCTAGCTGACAAACACCAGGTCAATGAGAGGATCTGATTCAAAAGACGCATGCACCACACGCATGCACTCACATGTGCACACTCATGAACACACACATCACACAAGAATACATCTTAGCAAGCCAAGAAAACAACTAGTGAAAGTCTTTAAACATTGGTCTTAGTAACAACTCCTTGGCCAGGACACCAAAAGCTCAAATAACAAAGGCAAAAATAGACAGGCAGAGTTCTACAGAAGCAGGATTACACGGAACTAAGAACTTCCAGGTAGGTGAAAGATGACCTATGGAAGGAAAAAACTACCTTACCATATATCCAACACGGGCCAAGCTAACCACTAAAATATGTAACTCTGCAGACTAATAGCAGAAAGACCTGATTTTAAAATGGACAAAGGACTTGAATAGATATTTATCCAAATGAGATATGCAAATGGCCAGGAGGATGTGGAAAGATGCTCAGCACCTCTACCAGGGAACAGGAATACACCTCACACTCATTAGTGGGGCTGTTAACAGGAAGGCAGGAAACAGGCATCTCTTTGCATCAGGGAACATGCAGAGAAATCAGAACCCTTGCAGAAACGTAACCCTGGGTAACTACTCTAGGAAGCAGTGTGGCATTCCTCAAAATTGAAATTGGGACTTCCATTAGATCCAGCCACCCCCTTCTGGCAATTCTCCTAAAAGAAATGCAAGCATGTGGTTAACACATTTGGGAAGCAGAGACAGGAGAATTGTAAAATTGGGGTCAATATAGCCTACACAGTGAGACCCTCCCCCCCCCCCCACACACACACACATACACACTGAAAACAGGATCATTTGCCCCTCCCACCCCCACTCTCAGATGTCAGTGCAGCATTATTGCCAGTGGCCAAAACCTGTAAACAACCACAGCATGGATTGACAGACAGATTCAGACAACACGCCTCTAATGGAATGCTCTTCAGCCTTAGGATAGAAGGGAATTCTGGGGCTGGAGAGATGGCTCAGTGGTTAAGAGCACTGACTCCTCTTCCAGATGACCCAGGTTCAATTCCCAGCACCCAAATGGCAGCTCACAACTGTCTATAACTCCAAGATCTGACACCCTCACACAAACATACATGCAGGCAAAATACCAATGTCCATAAGATAAGAATAAATAAATTATTTTTTAAAAAGAAGGGAATTTTGTGACTATGACAATGGGGATGAACCTTGAAAACACAAGGCCCAATGAAAGGAGCCAGACACAAGGCAAACTGCATGATCTCACGGCTATATGGTGTCTAAACTAGTCAGGCTGAGAGAAAGCAGAAAGCAGGACTGAGAAGAAGGGAGACGCTGCAAGGTGACAGAGTTCAGGGATCTGAGCAAGGGTAGCTAGAGTGCTGGGACAAAGACAGGCTTTATACTCAGCTGGTGAAAGAACGGAAATTGGGAACCACTTCAAAAGACCACAGGGCAATATCAACTGAAACCGAGGGGAGAACATATTATATATCACATATATCCTTGATTAGGAATCATCTCTAGATACATACCAAACAAGAATGCATATATTTGTTTATTTATAAAAAAGTTATAAGAGTGTTATAGGAGTATTATTCTCAATCATGTAAAATAGCTAGAAAAAGTAACAGGAGTTAAGCATGATATTTACTGTGGATAAACGTCACAGCTAGACTGTTTAGAGGAAGAAAACAGAAACAAAGAAAAGCTCAGCCCATGACCCCGTGTGTACAATGTGCAGAAACAATCTGAGTTTAGAAACCAGGCCAGGGATAGTGGCCCCCACCTGGGGCCCAGCATTGGAGAAGACAAGACAAAAGTCTTGCCTGGGCTGTCATAGTGAAATGCTGTCATCAAAAAGACAAACAAACAAATTAGGGTCTAAAGAGATGACTCAGCTGCTAATGTGCCTGCTACAGAAGCCTGAAGACTGAGTTCACATCCTGACCACTCACCCTGAAAGCCAGGACAGCCGTGCACACCTCCATGCTGGGGCACAGAGACAGGCAAATCCCTAGAATTCACTGCCTAACCCGCCTAACCAAATCAGTGAGCTCCAGGTTCAGTGAGAGACCCTGTCTCAAAAAAGAAGGTGGAGAGAGAGTGAAGAAGCCACCCAACGTTGACCTCTGACCTACACAAGTGAGTGCACACGTGCACATGTACCCACAAACACATTTGCACAGACCTGTACAGACACCACACCTACACATATACAGGAAAAGAAAAAATGTCAGGGCCTGGCCAGCTGGCTCAGTGGTGAAGGCACTTGCCTCCAAGCCTGGTGGTCAGAGTTCCACCCCAGGGACACAGCAGAAGAAGAGAACCACCTCCCACAGTTGTCCTCTGACCTCTGCATGCATTCCATGGCATGTGCCTCCCCCAATACATAAATAATTGTAAAACACACACACACACACACACACACACACACACACACACACACACACACACACGTAGCAGCCAAGGTAGGAGTTGGAGGACACCCAGGGGTTTCTGCTTCCCAATGTGGGCTATACAGATAGAGAGATGTACACTCTGGAAATTCAAAATGGAATACTTTGAATTTCTGGGCTTTTCTTTCTATAATCCCAGAACTGCGCTTATTTTCTTAAGAGAAAAGAACAGACTTTACGAGATACACAATTTTCTAAAACTCACCAAGACAAGCAAAGCTGGGTGGATGAGTGAATGAATGGAAAGATAGCTAATGGCCAAACGGAGAAGCGGACCAATTCATTCTTGCAAGATTCTCCGAGTAGCTGCAAGACCCTTCTCCCCACAGGGCACCAGGGTGATGCCAGGGTATGTTCCCTCAGGGACTGGGATAGGAAAGGCCATGCTTCGGCAGCACCCATACCTATGGTATCACCAGAAAGTTTCCAAGCCTTGACGTCCCGGTCCTCACCAGCACTAACAACCAACTGGAAGGTGTCCACATACAGGACATCCGACACGCTCTCCATGTGGCTATTCCAGGTAACCAGAAGTGGTGGGGGAACCAGAGAAATGGTCTGGCCTTCCACAACCTGTAGGGGGGCAGTAAAGGATGACTTACACAATGCTATCACACAGATTGCACCTTAGCAGTTACCTAGGACCCAGAGCAGCAGAGCCCAGGGAAGGGCACCTGGACACGAGCCCATGAACTACCTCTGGGCACTTCACGTTAACGTGCCACTGACGACCTTTAGTAGGTCTCAGCACTGGCCTCAGCGGCCCCTCGGTTAAGCCATCAGAGTCATTTCCCATTTACTCTACATAGACTGTCTCGCTGGAACCCACAACCTCATATGCTGTAGAGCATGATCACCACTTTACTGAGAAGAGAGAATCAGAGATATTCGGAAATCAACCTGAAGCCACAGAGCTGCAAGGTGATGGGACCACAACATAAGCCCACACGTCTTCTAACTCTTCTCAGCAGAGTACCGGAAGGACAAACGCAAGGGGTGGCTGGGGACACGGACATCACACCACAAAAAACGTTACACTGTGAGAGGAAGGAAGTCTATATAACTGGGAAGTGACCGTGTGTGTGTGTGTGTGTGTGTGTGTGTGTGTGTGTGTGTGTGTGTGTGTGTGTATGGTGTGGGGGGTGTGGGGGTGCGTGTGTTGTATGTATGTGTGTGTGTGTGATATGTGTGTGTGGTGTGTATGTGTGTGGTGTGTGTGTGGTGTGTGGGGTGTGTGGGGGTGGTGTGTGTGTGTGGTGTATGTGGTGTGTGTGTGTGGTGTGTATGTGTGTGTGGTGTGTATGTGTGTGTATGATGTGGGAGGTGTGGGTGTGCATGTGTTGTGTGTATGTGTGTGTGTGATACATGTGTGTATGTGTGTATGTGGTGTGTGTATGTGTGTGTGGTATGTGTGTGTGGCACGTGGTGTGTGTGGTGTGGGTGTGGGTGGTGTGTGTGTGTGTGGTGTGTATGTGTGTGTGGTGTGTGTATTGTGTGGTATGTGTGTGGTATGTGGTGTGTGTGGTGTGAGTGTGGGTGGTGTGTGTGTGGTGTGTATGTGTGTGTGGTGTGTGTATTGTGTGGTGTGTGTGTGTATGTGTGTGTGGTGTGGTGTGTGTATGTGTGTGTGGTGTGTGTATTGTGTGGTATGTGGTGTGTGTGTGTGTGTCATGTGCATATGTACATGCATGTTTGCCTGTGTTCAGCCCACATGTATACATGAGCACATGCATGTATATGATGCAGTAGAGGTATGAAGTTGACCTCAGGTGCCCTCCTTGATCTCTCAGGATCTCTTGGTGAACCCAGAGTTTGCCAATCCCAGTTGGTCTAGCTAGCCAGTTTGCCCCAGGGATCCCCAGTCTCTGACCCAAGCCCTGCCTGCTCAGCTGTTAGATAGGTTCTGGGGTTCAGACTCCAGTCCTCACACTCGGCAGCAAGTGCTGTATCCATTGAGCCGTCTGCCCAGACCCAACCATTTTGAGATCAAACAAGACTGAGGAAGGAACATTTATTCTACTTTATTCAGACTACTGCAAACTGTAACGCAACAGTGAAAGGCAGCAGAGAGCTCAGAAACCAACCTAAGCATGTGTGAAACCCTGCTGTACAAGAATAGTACCAGAAAGTGTGGGTCAAACACAAACACAGGGCTGTCAACAGAAAACCAACCATTATCACATGTGAAACTAAAATACACACTAAGAAGTTTGACTCTTTTATTATTAAGAAATTTTCTACTCATTTTACATATCAACCACAGATCCTCCTCTCCTCCCTCCTCCCACCCCACCCCCAGCCTTCCCTTCCAACCCAATCCCCATTCCCACCTCCAAGGCAAGGTCTCCCATGGGGAGTCAGAAAAGCCTGGTACATTCAGTTGAGGAAGGTCCAAGCCCCTACCCCCTGCACCAAGGCTGCACAAGGTGGCCCACCATAGGCACTAGGCTCCAAAAAGCTGGCTCATGCACCAGGGACGGATCCTGATCCCACTGCCTAGGAGTCCCCTAAACAGTTCAAGCTAAACAACTGTCTCATGTATCCAGAGGGCCTAGTCCAGTTCCAAGGGGGCTTCACAGCTGTTGGTCCACAGTTCATGCATTTCCACTAGTTTGGCTGGCCTTCTCTGTATGTTTTCCCATCATGATCTCGATGTCCGTTGCTCATAGAATCCCTCTTCTCTCTCATGGATTGGACTCCTGGAGCTAGGCCTGGCCCCCGGCCGTGGATGTCTGTGTCTGCTTCCATCAGTTACTGGATGGAGGCCCTATGATGACAGTTAGGGTATTCACCCATCTGATCACCAGAGTAGGCCAGTTCAGGCACCCTCTTAGCTATTGCTAGTAGTCTAAGGTGGAGTGATTCTTGTGGATTCCTGGGAACTTCCCTAGCACCCTGTTTCTCCCTATTCCCATGATGTCTTCATTTATCATGGTATCTCTTTCCTTGCTCTCCCACTCTGTCCCTGTTCCAACTTGAACCTCCTGTTCCCTTATGTTCTCATCCCCTATCCCTTGCCCTCCATTACCATGCCCCACCCCCAGTTCACCCATGTAGATCTCATCTATTTCTCCTTCGCTGGGTGATCTATATGTCCCTCTCAGGGTTCTCCTTGTTAGCCAGCTTCTCTGGAGCTGTGGATTATAGTCTGTCTATCCTTTGCTTTACATTTAGCATTCACCTATGAGTGAGTACATACCATGTTTGTCCTTTTGAGTCTGGGTTACCTCACTCAGGACAAAATTCTCTAGTCCCATCCATTTGCCTGCAAATTTCATGATATCATTGTTTTTTTTTTCTGCTGAGTAGTACTCCATTGTATATATGTGCCACATTTTCTTTATCCATTCTTTAGTTGAGGGGCATCTAGGTTGTCTAGGTTCTGGCTATTACGAATAATGCTGCTATGAACATAGTTGAGCATGTGTCCTTGTGGTATGATTGAGTATTCTTCGGTAAATGCCCAAGAGTGGTATAGCTGGGTCTTGAGATAGATTGATTCACAATTTTCTGAGAAACCACCATACTGATTTCCAAAGTGGCTGTACAAGTTTGCACTCCCACCAACAGTGGAGGAGTGTTCCCCTTGCTCAGCATCCTCTCCAACATAAGCTGTCATCAGTGTTTTTGATCATAGCCATTCTGACAGGTGGAAGATGGTATCTCAGAGTCATTTTGATTTGCATTTTCCTGATGACTAAGGATGTTGAGCAATTCCTTAAATGTCTTTCATACTGCAAGCCGCAAAAATATAAATGAAGTAAGATTTCAGTTGATTATGATGAGCTAATGCCTGGAAGAAGCCAAGGTCAAGCTGAGGCTCAGGGATTTTTGGTGATAATGGGTTTTGATTATTAGCCATTTCCTACTATGAATTTCTCATGTGCTATTGTAGCTTTTCCATCATTTATTGGGCACCATTTCCCCTCTACTAATATTTAGATAACCTTCTGTGTTGACAGCTATGCACAGCCAGAACCCCAGTTCAAGCCTCCCTGTAATTATCATCATTGGCAGCATCCAGCCAGGTCCATCCCCAGACGGAAGAAAGTACCTTATCAGAGATACCTCTGTACTCTCTAAGAACAGACTTAAGTGTTCAGACTACCTGTTTGAGAAGGCCTGATGGGTGTGCTAATTAAGCTTAACTTTCTCCTTTCCAAAGTCTAGTATCTAGATCTAAAATCTAGTTTTAGATACACTCTTAACAATTAATTCAGAACTAAAGGATTCCAACTTACAGGTACACTGAGCTGTGATGGAAGCTGCCTAGCCAAGTTGTTTAGTGACCAAGCACAGAAACAGCGGGAGCAGAGATCGTTTGGAGAGATAAGGGTCAAAGGGATAAAAAGGCAGTTTTATTTTCAGAGCAGAGGAGATGGACAGAGAAGAGAAAAGAGAATGGAAGAACTAGATGGGTAAGAACTGGAGAGGAACGAACTGAGATGGGGAAGAACCAGACTGGAGGACTAGAAGAGAGTACTAGAGGGATGAGATGGAAGATGAGGATGAGCCAGATGGGGAAGAACAAGGTGAGGAAGAACAAGATGAGAAAGAAGGAGACGGAAGAGGAGCTAAGATGGGAAAGAACTAGATGGACGAGAACCTAGATGAGGCAGAACTAAGATGAGAGAATTAAGATAGAACTTAGAAAGGACAGCAGATAAATACAGAGAGAAATCAGGCAAGGAAGAAGCTTGGCATGAGAATAGAACTGAAGCTGTGTAGATAGGATCTTATCCCAGAGGAATAAAGTAGATGGACAAAGAGCTTGGTGTACTTAGATTCATTTCCCGAAAATAATTCTCACTGTTCATAGTTTCTCTTCTGAGCCCCTGGGAAGTATATTATTAAGGCTGGCCTTTTAATAATATACAAGACTTAAAGCCATTTGAGATTCTTCTGTTGAGAATTATCAGATCTGCAGCCCATTTTTTAATTGGATTGTTCAGTATTTTGATGTCTAGTTTCTTGAATTCTTTATATATTTTGGAGATCAGCCTTCTGTCAGATGTGGGGTTGGTAAAGATCTTTTCCCATTCTATAGGCTGTTGTTTGGTCTTATTGACCATGTACTTTGCCCTACAAAAACTTCTCAGTTTCAGGAGGTCCCATTTATTAATTGTTGCTCTCAGTGTTTGTGCTACAGGTGTTATATTTAGGAAATGGTCTCCTGTGCCAATGCGTTCAAGACTACTTCCTACTTTCTCTTCTATCAAGTTCAGTGTAACTGCACTTATGTTGAGGTCTTTGATCCACTTGGACTTGAGTTCTGTGCATGGCAACAGATATGGATCTATTTGCAATCTTCTACATGTTGACATCCAGTTATGCCAGCACCATTTATTGAAGATGCTTTCTTTTTTCCATTGTACAGCTTTGGCTTCTTTGTCAAAAATCGGGTGTTCATACATGTGCAGATTAATGTCAGGGTCTTCAGTTCGGTTCCATTGGTCCACATGTCGGTTTTTATGCCAGTACCAGCAGTTTTTATTACTATAGCTCTATAGCAGAGCTTGAAGTCAGGGATTGTGATGCCTTCAGAGGTGGTTTTTGTTGTACAGGATTCTTTT